TAATATCAATTTTCTTAATTAGTTTTGTCAATTGGCAATTAACATGGAGATTTCTGAGTTTGACAACATTTTACTATTGGCATGATAATATATAGATAGGCTCTTTAATTTGATTCTAACAATTAAATAGTCAAATTTCGAGGATGTACATCTAAACTCCTCGACTCCTTTTTAATGTGTCAATTGAACTCTTCAATTTACGAAATGATCATTTAAATACCTTCAAATTTTATGTGTTACATCAGCATTGGATGCTCACAAGACAGAATGAAAATAAATCAAAATGTCTAGATGTGCATTTTTTAAAATCGAAATGTGTAATTCTTAGTATGCACTAAATTAAAATGTTTATCTATGTATTATGTTTTTATTCTTTAATAAAGCAATAAAAAAATTGTTCTTTTATCGTCTTTTAGCTTGCAAGAGCTTTACTTTAATTCTTGAGTAGAGGATCTATGGTAAAACAATCTTTCTACCCTACACAAGGAAGATAAGGTTAAAGTATGCGTATATTTTATCTTCTTCAGAGTTTACTTATGGAGTTACAATTCTTGAACCGAGGGTCTATGACGAAATAGTCTTTCTACCTCACACAAGGAAGATAAGGGTAAGGTATGCGTACATTTTATCTTCTTCAAAGTTTACTTATGGAGTTACAATTCTTGAACCGAGGGTCGATGACAAAATAGTCTTTCTACCTCACACAAGGAAGATAAGGGTAAGGTATACGTACATTTTATCTTCTTCGGAGCTTACTTATAGAGTTACATTACATATGTTGTAGTTGTTGTTGCGGAACTATACTTTTTATAGCATAACCGTTCACCTCTCAAGCAAACTCTTGTTGTTTTTTTTAAAAAATAATTAGAGAATTTTATTAATAATCTCAGTCCATCAAAGGACAAACACCACCTTACACCTCCTTGGGCAAAAACCCAATCCCAAAAGAACAACCCAAATACTAAAAAACAAACTACTAATAAGCTAGAATCCTAATCAATCTAGACAAAGGCCTAACCCATTCCTATCCGGGTGTTAAAATAAGTGTCAAGGGTATGGTTTCCTAAATCAAATCTCTTTATCTTCGTCTGCTTGTCTCCTTTTTTTCCTGAAGAAATGCTTCCACCTTGGAGTAACCATTGCCTCAACTTCTTCCTTATTTGGGTCATTGTGGTCATGGTATGGAGTGTATGGGAGCTCCAATCAGCCTCATACATCGAGTGTAACAAGCTTCATCCAGGTTTAAAAGTTCAACACTAACTCCTGATCTTTGAGTCCTTTTTGCTGGCTGGAATAGAATAATCTAAGTAGTATTTCACTGTTTTTGCTGCCCTCGAGGCTTGTGTAAATATGATGCTTGTGCATTTTTTATTTTTTTATGTTGTAGCCTTCCCCACCCCTTTCTCTCCTTACCGCTACTATCCTCAAATAGGGGCATTTTAATTTGTCACTGTTGATAATCTCCCTTCCTGTTACTTCCATGCTATTGAAATCTGAAAATCTGCAATTTCTTTTATCGATAGCTCTATTGGCAAAGTAGTCTGCTAACTTATTTCCTTCTCTGAGAGTGTGTTAGAAAATATGTTGTTTATCTTTCATGCATGCTTTAATTTCCTCCACCATATATGCTATTATCCATGGGACTAACCACTGTTCTTTAAGTACCTTACACATAAGCATTGAGCCAGTCTGAATGATGATTTGATTATACTGTGACTGTTTGCAATGTTTACATGCTTCTAGGATATCTTTCGCTTCCGCCACTGTGTTAGTAGTGTTCTCCATATTTCCTCCCTCTGCATACTTGATGTCTCCTCTATCATTTCTTAGGCAAAATGCATAGGAACTTAGGCATGGGTTTCCTCGTGAAGCTCCATCGGTGTTGTACTTTAGCCAACCTTCTGGTGGGTATTCCCACAATACCTTTATTACCTTCATCCTAGGCCTGTAGTTTTCCAACTCGCTTAGCATACCTGGCCAATTACTAGGTCCTTTCCTCCTTGGATGTCTCAACTGCAACAACATGTACATGTTCCTAGTGACATTATATATGATTCGTGACACTGATGTTTTCTTCCCTTCGTGTTTCATCCTATTGCTCCTTCTCCAGAGCTCCTAGATCACAAAGCTAGGTAGTGCCCTATAAAGAGGCCTCAATGCTTTTTTTGTATTTGCTCCCCACCATACCATTATAACTTCTCTTAATTGGAGTCCTGATATGCTTAGACCTGCAAAAGAGCAAAAATAGGACCAGGTCCTGTTAGCAGTAAATGATCGAAGAAACACATGAGTTAGTGTTTCTTGATCAAGTCTTTCACAGCACCAACATTTAGAAAGTCCTTCCAGTCCCCATTTTCTCAGTCTATCATCAACAGGAATTTTGGATTTCCAAAGTCTCCACATCATGAAGGCCACCTTAAAAGGAACCCTTTTTGTCCAAATTCACTTATAGATTTTGTTGGGTTCCTCTTTGTGCCTTATATACTGCCATGTTGCTTTAACAGTAAAAGATCCCCCTAAATCCAACATCCAGCAGGGTGTGTCTTTTTCCTCTTTACCCGTAGAAGGGTGGATATGTTGTATAATGTATTCTACTAACTCTAGACGGAGAATGTCCTGCAACACCTCTACATTTCATTCTCCCTGATTAGTCAGCTCTTCAACCTTTGTATAGTTATCATCCCATTCAAAATCTTCTCCCGTGATGGTATACAGATCTCTCAATCCTGTCCAATTATCATGCCATACAGAGGATGATCCTTTCTTCATTCGCCATAGGATTTGATGCTCAATGAGGTCCCTTGCTTGAAGCATTTTTTTCCATACTTGTGATCCACCTCCCCCAACTTTCCACATAATTACATTAGCATGAGTGTTCTTGCAATACTTATTTCTCATGTATTCACTCCATATAGAAGGTTTGGTCCGAAAGTTCCACCATAGTTTACAAAATAGGGCCATTGATAGGTCATGCATTAATCGAAATCCTAATCCCCCTTCCTTCTCTGGTAGGCATAGGTTACTCCACTTTGTCCAGTGTCTTCCTCTTCCTCCAATGCAGTTGCTTTAAAAAAATGGTGCCATCATTTTCTAGACTTGATTTAGCATATTGTGTGGAGGATTCATAACCGATAAGCAATGAATTAGTGTACTCTGAAGCACATGCTTGATTAGAATGGCTCTCCCTCTATAAGATAGCAATTTTCCTTTCCAAGACTGCATCTTGGCTCCATCCTTTGCATCATTGGCTCATAATAAGCCTTCTTCTTTCTTTTATAAAAAATTGGACATCCTAAGTATGTAAAAGGAAATTCTTTCCTTAGAATTCCTGTTGCTACCTCTGCAACTGTGGCATCCCCTCCTGAAACATTGTGGTGCAAATAAATAGCACTTTTCTCTTTATTCACCTTCTGGCCAGAAATATCTTCATATTTCCTTAATGTTTCAGTAATCATCTGCATTGTTCGTACTTCTGCTTTGCATAGGATAATCATATCATCCGCAAAGGCTAAGTGATTCACTTATTGGCTGCCTCTTGGCATTCCAAACCTCTTGAATTCTTTCTTCTTTATTAGAGAATTTAGAGATCTTGACATGACCTCGGCTGCCAATATAAAGAGAGTAGGCGATAGAGGATCCCCTTGCTTCAGTCCTCTTGAGGATTTAAAAAATCTTTTAGGCTGACCATTTAGGAGGATTGGTACCAATTGGAACTGATCAATCTGAACACCATATCAATAAGCTTTTCACCAAAACCAAGTCTTTTTAATACCTTGGTCATAAATAGCCATTCCATTTTGTCGTATGCTTTCATCATGTCTAGTTTAATCACTAGATTTGGAGACTTCCCTCTCTTCCTTATTTCTGTTATAATTTCTTGAACCAATGACACATTCTCCGATATGCTTCTCCCTTGTACAAAACCAGCTTGTTCTGGGGAAATAATTCCTGGTAACACTATTTTAAGTCTTTCATGAATAATTCTTGAAAATATTTTATTCACGAAGTTACTTAAGGAAATAGGTCTCAGGTCCGAGAAAGTATTCACTGTTACTTTCTTAGGAATGAGAACTAGATTAGTGTAAGTGATGAACCGCGGTAACTCCGCACCACTGAAGAATGCCTTGACCATATTACAAGTATATCCTCTCATGTGGTATCCCAAGTATGTTGGAAAAAACCTCCACTCATACCATCTGGTCCTACTACACTGTCTTTGTTTAAGCTCATTACTGCCCTTTTGACCTCCTCTGTTGTTAGCATGCTTTGCAGCTCTTCATTCATCTCATCATTTATCACTACTGGTAATTCCTTCAGTAGCTCAAAATCTTCACTGTCCTCCTGCTTCGTAAACTATTTTTTGTAGAAATCTATTATTGCTTCCGCAATATTTTCTTGTTGGGTTAACCATTCTCCTTTCTCGTTTTGGATTTTATTTATCCTCAGCCTTTTCCTCATTCCTTTAACAATGGTATGAAAGAATTTAGTATTCTTCTCTCCCTCTTTGAACCATTCCATTCCAGCTTTCTGTTTCCAAAATTCTTCCTCCCTTTGTAATTGCTTCCTTAGCTCCGCTTGAGATTTATGCAAATTTTCTCTGTTAGTGCCTGAAGGATCCAGTTCAAACTGTGTTTCGTTCACTTTAATAACTTCTTCAAGAGTGATTATCTCTTGAAAGATGTTACCAAGGGTCTCTTTGCTCCACTGAAATAACACCTTCTTAACCATTTTTAATTTATGATGGAATAAAATAAAAGGGTCTCCTTCAAAATCTGCTTTCCACTACTGATTGACCACTTCCATGAATGATTTCTCCTTTATCCAGAAGTTTAGGAATTTGAATGGTCTCATCACTTTCTTGCTACTAGTTTTTTGAGTAATTAACAATGGAGTATGATCAGAACCACTCCGCACCAAATGTTCAATTTCTAATCCCGGGAAAGTGTTCTGCATTTTCTCGTTGCATAGAACTCTATCCAATCGTTTGAAAATACATTCTTCATCTGTTCTCCTATTCCACCAAGTGTATTTGATCCCCTTGAAGCCTTGATCCTCCAAATTGCATACATTAATGCAATGATTGAAGTCCACAACTTCTCCATTAGTTACTGGACGCCCTCCTAATTTTACTTCTTCATTTCTAATCACATTGAAGTCTCCTCCGACTAGCCAGGGAATTCTGATGTTGTTTGATAAATCCTCCAAGGAATCCCATAGTTGTAGTCTTTCACTTTGTGTACATTTAGCATATACCAAAGATATTGACACTTCGATGTCCAGTCCTTGATTCTGCACTTTGATAGTCAAAAACTGCTCTTCATCCCTTTCTATTGTGTATTCCATCAGTTCATCAATAAAAGCCCAAATTTTCCCATTTATATTAACTACAACATGCTTCATACCCAGCTTCCTTCTGTACTCATCTAGATCTTATCTATCTTCAAAAGGTTCCATTAGTCCCACAAAATAGAATTGGTATCTTTTATGCATATTTACCAATCTAGTAAACGCCTTTTCGGTGTTTACCGACCTTATATTCCATATTAGAGCTCTCATTGATACTTGGTATTTTTTTATGATCATTCTCTTTGATCTTGATGATGCTTGAGCGGCATTAAGTTCTCCACGGCCTTGCTTTTCTTATTTAGCATGGACTTGTTTTAGTTTTCCAGCCTGTTTTGGTGACAAATCCCCTTCTATAATAGCCGTTGCAATGTTCTGTACGAGATCATTCTTATCCCCATTAGCTTCATTAGTGTCCAATCGATCTTCATTTTCATCCATTTGCATCACCAAAGGAAAGACTTCTTCATTGTTAGCTTCATATATAATTAAATCTCGTTTTGTTTCCATCTCACTGTGCTCTTCTTCTTCTTGCATTGTTTTTTCCTCATTTTGTTTATGTCCTGATATCTCCTCCGATCCATTCTCCAGTACCTTGTCATTGGGCGTTCGCTTTTTATTGACCTTTTCTATTGTTTATTTTGGTTTACTATCTTTCTGCTTTGTGTTGAGATCTCCAAAGTTTTTGTTTACCCATTCTTTCGTGCTTATCTTGGTTACACATTCCTCCTGTTCTTGCTTTTTCTCTTCCTCATTTTTTTGTTGTTCTTCTCCCTCCAATCTTTCAAGTGTCCCAAAGGGATTTTTGTCCTGAACATCATTCTCCCCTTTAATACATCCATACTTATCCCTTTTGTATTTGTTTCTTCTCCTCACCATCCATTCCTGTTTGTAGTGCCTTTAACCAACTACCCTTCCACTTGACAAAATTCGATTCGGTTCTTGCCCATCGGGATTTGTTATTGTGTTTACTTCTTCCTCCTCCTTATTTCCTTCCTTATATTCACTTCTTTTTTCATATAGTTCTAGGTGTAGTGACCAGCAACTATGCTCATCGTGACCTTGAAAATGACATTCCTTGCAATATTTGGGCATATAGTCGTAATGCACCTTCACCCACTTGTACTTAGTGTCGCCTGTGATATCATCCTCCTCCGTTATTCTAACCCGTTGTGGTAGCTTGGCTGTCAGATCTACTTCAATTTTGACTCTAGCACAACTGGTCTCGTTTGATTTCTTGTTGCCATATCTACTATTAATGGTTTGTCCACTGCTGCTTCAATTGAAAATTTTACCTCATTTGCAAAGAAGTTTGGGGGGAGATCAGGGAAAGAGATCCATGCAACTCCTATTGTTGTTTCTACCTCCGGCTCAAACCATGGATCCCATTTAAGAGTTCTCATCTGCCAATAATTATTCCTAGCCTTCACGTAGTATGTTCCTGTAGATAAAACATGCACGTAGTCCTCCAAACTATTGATTCTGATCAAAATATGCCTGGAATCCAATACTCTTATCGTGCATTCACTTTTGATTCCACATTGTCCTGGTATTGTTTTCCTTAGTTCCGTAATATCGGGTTTGCCATAGGAAAATTTGCCAATAATAGCATATTGCAAATTTTCCTGAATGACTAGCGATCGTACTTTCGATGCCTTCCATGTAATATTAGGTTCTCCCTGTAGCATGACCACTGGTTTGGGAGGGACTTTAGGTATTAGTGGGTTCATTGGTTTTGGTTGGAGTATTTGTGCATACTGCATAATGTTTTGGTTTCCATTGCCAATCTTTGGTGGTTTTATGGTATCATGACCTTGTAAGGGTGGGAATTCCTCTGGTGGGAAAGTCCCAACGGTGGTGGCTGCCACCATGACGAAGTCTAGAGTTTCTGGGGTGGGGATGGGGGGCGATATTTTAAATTGATTACACAAAGAAGAAAATTATTTTTTTTTCTTGTTGTTCTGGGGATAAAGTGTTATTGCAGGGCAGCTTTTGTTAATGATACAATTCACTGACAGAGGCGTATGTACATGAAGGGGTGTGGGTTCACATACACCCATCCTCCCCTTCCTAACCCCTATATAATACTACTATTTTTCTAATTATCTTTTTAAATTTGTATTGGTGAACCCAAGGTTAAAAAGAATACTCTAGTATATTGATAAGAATGTACAAATAGGGGGTGCATAACTTATAGATTTGTGGTTCAAATTTTTCTATCCACATTAATTATTTATATTTTTAATTAATATAACAAATGTGCCACTTTTCATAGATCTTTTTAATAATTTATAAATAAAAAGAGGTTCAAATACCCATATTTTTAGATTGCATTAGCTATGTCTAGACCTTAAGCTAGAAGTGTCAATAAAGTCAAATTATATTTTTTACTTTCTTTTCTCCTTTCCTACTTTAGACGTTTTTCTTATTTATTTATTTTAACTTTTTCATTTGACTTTTCAAACCCCTAAACTAAAAGGTAAAAAAGAGTAAAGACATCATATTGTTCTTCTTTTGGCTTCATTCCACTTTGTCGTTCATGGTGAAGTAGAAGTGAGATTTGAGAACAAGTAACGAGGTATGCTATCTAAAATAATAAATTATTTATTAATGTACTTCATTTGTTTTATATGTTTTTCTTGATTTATGAAGTGGTGCCATTATTTGATTGCTTGAATAATTAAATTTATAAGAATTTCTTGATTTCTAAATAGTTATCTAATAATTGATTCTTTTATTAGTAAACTTGTTACTTGTGCTAATATTTTTTTAAAATTATTTTGTTTTGATAAGATTGAATAGAAGTGTGAATATTTAATTTTGTAGGTAAAATAATTCTTACATTCACAAATCACAAATGGATAAGTTTCTCATCCAGTTACCAAAGCCAAAAGATGGCCAACCAAGTTCTAGCTCTAATCAACCATTTGTGAGTTCACAAGTTGCTCCGGAAGTTCAAAGACATATAAATTCTTATCCACTTTCAAATACGGATAATATGCTTGATTTTAAATCTCTTGAAGCAGATCCCAAAGATCAAATGCCTATTTCATCTTATGGTCCTAATATTCGAGATGCGGTACATTAAAAAAAAGCCAATGTCAACCTGTTGATCATATCTTCCCTAAAACTAAGTTTGGAGATAAATGCGTCAATTTCGACCAACTTGGTTTAAGAGAAGATCTCAATGGTTGGAATATAGCATTAAGCAGACGCGACTATTTTGTTTGTGTTGTTATTTGTTCAAGAATGAACTTGAAAGTCGTGGAAATGTCGGAGATTCATTTACAAGAGCTGATTTTAGGTGTTGGAACAAAGCTTTAGAAAGATTCAAAAAACATGTTGGTAAGGTAAATAGTATCCATCATAAATGTTTCAATAGGATGCAAGATTTGATAAACCAACGACAATCGATCCAATCTTCTTCTGACAAGTAAAGTGAAAAGGCAAGAAGTGATTATCAGATGCGTTTAAATGCCTCAATTGATGTAGCAAGATTTCTCTTGACATCGGGATTTCCATTTCGTGGACATGATGAAAGTGAAGGTTCCAAATATAAGGGTGCTTTTCTTGAACTTTTGAAATGGTATGGGGATAGAAGTTTTGATGTGGGAAGAGTAATATTAGGTAATGCTCCACAAAATGATATGATGATTTGTCCGACAATTCAAAAAGATATTGTGGAGGCTTGTGCTAAAGAAACAACTAAGGCTATCATTGAAGACTTGGACGGTGATTATTTTGGAATATTAGTTGATGAATCAAAGGATGTTTCTCATAAGGAGCAAATGGCTCTAATTTTGAGATATGTCAACAAAAGTGGAATGGTGATAGAGCGATTCTTGGGTATTGTCCACGTAAATGATACATCTTCTCAATCATTAAAAAAGGCAATTTATTCTTTGTTTTTGGATCACTCATTATGTACATCCAAAATACGTGGTCAAGGTTATGATGGGGCTAGTAATATGCAAGGGGAAATAAATGGTCTCAAGTCTTTGATTTTACAAGATACGTCATCTGCATATTATATTCACTGTTTTGCTCACCAATTGCAATTGGCGCTTGCAGGTCTTTCCAAAAAGAATTCAGATGTGGATAATTTTTTTTATGTTCTCACTAATATTTTGAATACTATTGGAGCTTCATTTAAACGCAGAGATTCACTTCGACAACATCATGAAGAAGATAAGTTGGAAGAGTTGCTTAAATTTGGAAAAGTTCATACAAGGCAAGGTTTGAATCAAGAACGTGGCCTCCAACGACCGGGTGATACTCTTTGGGGGTCTCATTTTAAAACCTTGGACAATTTCCTGATTCTTTTTTCTTCAATTTCTAATGTGCTTAAGGATATGAAACGTGATTGTCCATATCATCTTGATAGATTTGCGGCGAAAAATCTTTTGAGCAAGATTCATGAATTTGAATTTGTCTTTATGTTGCGCTTGATGTTTAAGGTGTTGCTATTGACGAATGAGTTGAATAAAGTTTTACAAAAGAAAGATCAAGATATCGTTAATGCTATGGGATTGCTTGACCTTTCAAAGAAACGATTGCAAATGATGATAGAGGATGAATGGGACTCTATGATGGATGAGGTTAGCTTATTTTGTGGTAAACATGGTATTTCAATTCCCAAAATGAATGAAGGCTACTCTAATGGGAAGTCAAAGCGTAAGAGGTCCAATATTTCATATTTGTCTCACTTTCGTGTGAAAGTATTTTATGTTGTCATTGATTTGGCACTTCAAGAACTCAATAATCGTTTTGATGTGGTGACTAGTGACTTGCTCCTCGGTATGACTAGTTTGAGTCCGGTTGATTCATTTGCTAATTTTCACAAGGATAGGATAATGAAACTAGCCGAGTACTATCCAAGTGAGTTTGATGATAAAGAGATTCGGGAACTCAATTTTCAACTCAATGATTTTATTGTCTATGCTCAAAAGTGTGATAGAAAGTTTCTCAACTTGAAGGGAATCAAGGATCTTGCAAGAGTGATGATAGAGACAAAACTGATCAAACTTGGTCATTTGTGTATCTACTTGTGAAGCTAA